GACGCTGAAGTGCAGGCACTTGTAGCAAATGTAGCAATGCCAGTTGTCGTTGGAGATTTTTAGTCCTCCTTTCCGTTCTTTCAATCGCTTTACGTATATGTCGACTTTCCATGTCCATTATTGTGAAACCCGCGAGACACAACAAAAACACAGCTTCAATCGCAACGTCCTCCATCCTCCTGTTGTTAATGTTGTTCTTCTTTGTTTCTGTTGAACGCCGTGCACAAATGACAACGCTGTCGACCGGCTTACGTCACTTCCTAGTACACACTGTCGGTGCGAATGCAACCCTTTAAATAGTACTGGGAAATAGTTCGCGCAAAATCGTCCCAGTACTTTAGTACCGTACATTTAGTTCTGGAACTAAAGTGGTGTGAAAGGGCCTTAAGCTGTTTTTAGATTAACGAGAAAGTTTTGGGTTCTGAAATTTACAGGATGTTTTTATAGTACAATGACCTCTTATATATTATATATTTTTATTTCTCAGTTCATGGCCCCTTTAAGAAGTTCAATGCAGGTTGTAGGCATTACAGTGACAGTAGGCAGTGAGACGATTCAAAATGTGGAACAGCATTCCATTCTAAAATGACATTTTAAACCACAATAAACTGATTTGATGCAGAATTTAATGAAGAAAGTATTTCAAGAATCATTTGGTTTAGTTGTTAAGTGTAGTTGCTGATCTCATATTACTGCCATTCTTCCCTGATCGGCTGGGTCTCCTGCTCAGAGCAATATCTGAGTGTCAAATACACCACTCATCCAGAAAATGCCAACTTGTTGGCTGTTCCAACTTCGGGGAGGAGTAGTGTCCATGGTAGTGCCAGAGGCTCCTCCCCACTACCTTTGTACAGCGGCAGTGGTAGAAACACACCACAGGCAGGGAGCGGTGGCGTGGCCCTGCCCCTCAACCCCACTACTCTGGCTTTGCTCCAACAGCACAACTACATCCCTTACTTCAGAGGTACCACAGTTCTGCCTGCAGGCTTTTGCCCAGTACAAATCACCACATGCTGCATGTGTGTGAACTTATGGTCTTGGATACAAGATTCACTTTCCCTTGACAATATGAGTGAATGAGTTCACTACTAAAAATACTGTTCTAAGATTTTAAACAAGACTAATGTCATAAAGTGCATGATGTTCCTGCTGTTGGAATTGGATTTCAACACACATGAACCGTGGATCAAGCTCCAAAACTCTTAGTGCTTCATAAGGGTTTACATTCAAAATAAAGGACTAGTGAATTGCAGACATGAAATTACTACCCTATCCTTCATCCACCTTTCTTAAACAGGAATTGAGACAGGATTCAAACAGGAAGCAAAGTCTGAAAGTAGGCCTAGGACAGCCCTGCACCTCAATTTGCCTTCTCACGGTAAACCCTAAAATCCAGTCTCTCTTTCACTGTGTATCACCAGTCTATTACAGTGATGTGAGATTGTAGGTGTACCGCAAGGTTCAGTCCTTGGACCAATCTGTCTTTTATGCTTGCTGGTATTGTGTTTAAATAGAGTTTGTATGTCCAATCGTTTTGCATGGTAAACGTGGATATTCATTATATTTGACCTGAAACAGTAACCTAATGCACAAAGACAAATGCAAACATTGGTGGCGAGCATCAGTATGCATTTATTTGTTGTACTGTAGTTGATGTTGTGTTTCATCTGTTAAGGTGAAATTTTCCGCCATGCATCTGATATTCAAAGTGATTGTCTGTATGTTTGTGTTAATGTTGCCATTTACTTGGTGGCTGTCATTTCTATCTTTTTAGCATTTTCAAGTGTTTTATTTCACAGAACATGCATACTCAGACAGGCAATAATTTGCAGGTGGAGTTACAGTGGAGTCCAAACGTCTGAGACTATGAATAGAAATGTAAAATATGTAGAAGTTTCAGAACACAGACCAATACCACAAACTTGCTGTTGATTCGTGATTTTGTAAGTTTTACTGTCACATTAGTCCTAGTAGTTTTTCATTTAATTTTCATTGGTGTTACAGTTTGATTAGTGAATTAGAAATAATGCAGAATCTGAAGTATTTCTTCATTTTACATTATAACTTTGTTTGAAAAGTTTTCAACATTTTTTGTACCTAGTTCCTACAACTTTTTTGTACATTTCCTGTTTAAATAATATAAAAAAATCCCAGATTTTTGATCTCAGGCTTTTGAACCCTGCTGTGCATATGTACATTCTATGTATATCTAGAATATATTGGAAAGTATTTATTCATAAAGATAACATGTCTGTGAAGAGGAGGAAAGTATGATGAAACAGATTTGGGTTTTGTGGTTTCTCTGCGAGAAGTAGAGAGAGCGAGAATAAAGTTCGCAGGAGAAGATTAAAGGGGTAAATTGATGAACTGTAATTTTGGGTCAGTTTGCCAGACGCAGTGGCATAAACTTAGGCCTTGTGCATTTCCAGGCCAGCCCTTTAATGTTGCATGAAAGTACACTGAGGTTGTGTTTGGAGTGCGCCGTTCATGATGCACTTAGCTGTCTAATTGACTTCTTATTGGTAAAGTAGCCACACAGGAGGAAAATCGCCTCTTCCTTACAAAGGTTTCTACTTAAGATATATAAAATGAAGATGGAAATCATTCACAGAATATGTGTTAGTGATGAAATGCTGTATTACACCCAGCGGATATGAGAAGGGCGTTGCAATCCATAAAATCATATTTTAATGAGTAATGAGAGCATTGAGACCTTCATACTCCACAGTGTGCTCCAGTGTTGTGATTTGTGTATGTTTGGTGTATTTTATGACAATTTCCTGCTCCCCCAGCTCCAGATGTGTGGAAGATTTTCCCCTGATAAAGGGTGAATTTTTACTAACAGCACTTTGTGTGTTAAATGGTGTGTGCATGTTTCTGAAGAACAGTTGCAAGTGTATGTGAAAGAGAGAAAGAAAAGACAAAGGAGACAGAGAAAGAGTTCATTTATGTGTATACATTTTTTGCTTTCAGCATATGCAAATAACTTTTTTTTAAAAAATAAATCATTTTAGTGTGTAGTTGAATAAGATATTCTCTCTCTCTTTTACCCTCAGTTTGATAAAAGACTGTGATTATAAATACTTAATATTCTTCCCAAATGTTATTATAACATCACAATTCAGCCTGCCAATGACAGTCATTTCTGTCTATGTCCAATTTGTATTGACTTGTCTGCTCAGTTCAAGCAGTGCAATGAAATTTGAGTGTCTACTGATCAGATGCCATCAGTATAAACACAACATACTTTCACAAACTCCAATGCAAAGACAAATTTGTACTTTTTAAAGCTGGCTGTATTGTGATGTTTCAGACTCAATGAAGACTCAGTGTAGCATATTTCTGGCAACCCTGTCAACTTTTCCTCTCTTTCCTTTTCATTTTGTGTCTGCCATGACCTTCACCCCCCGAGGTAGTGAAAGTGGTCGGAGTACCCCCAGTCTCTCCACCTACTCTGATGGCAAATCTCCTTCCTCAACATACGTGGCAGCCCCACGACATTTCCATATCCCAGGTAGGTGTTAAAAACTCTTGTACTTAAACTACCCATGGTAAAAAAAATTCTCACATCTCTTCTTCCCTTCTATCCTCACTTCTGTACAATGTCAAATACTCTCTCTATTTTATGAAAAAAATCCGGCATACTGAATAATTCATATTCGTATTCTGCCTTCATATTGTTCTGTGGTCTTTCGCTTAAGATCACTACCATTGTTGTGCATCTTTGCATGATTTGCATTATTTTAGTACATTTATAAGTTGTTATTGTAAGCAAAGCCCTATTTTTAGTACGTAAAATACGTTTTTTACTGTCATTGCTCATCCCATGTTTAAAGGGGTCATATGATGCGATTTCTATTTTTCCTTTTCTTTAGTGTGTTATGTAGCTATTTGTGCATGTATAAGATCTGCAGAGTTACAAAGCTCAAAGTCCCCCACAAAAGGATTTATTCTATCTAAAAGAGAAGGCTGATCCAGACCGGCTAAAATGCCTCATTCAAACACGCCCCCACATCTCTACGTCACGATGTGGAAATATTTGCGAAATGCCGCCCAAATGTAGAAGGCGTGGTTTCAGGAACCGCAGTAGTGTTGATGCAGCCATGTCAGGGAGACGCTGTGTGTCTCTGTGCAAAAGCAAGAGCACTTTATTTGGCCTTCCGGAAGTAGATGCAATGAGGAATCATTGGTAAAGATTTATTTATAACAGAACAGCACAACCCAGATGTGTGAATTTGTGCAACGCATTTTATGGACTACAGTTTTGTGGACCTAGGAGAGTAGCCTACAAGGCTGGCTGTGCAAAGGCTATTTCCAAAAAAAATGGGTCAATTCCGACTTTGCTATGACAATCTGGCGCTTATTCTGAATCAGCTACTGTAAGTATGTTTTCTTAATAGCTTAAGTATTTGCTATTGACTGTTCAAATGCAGAGTTTTGCGCCGTGTAGAGTATCGCGTCGTGTGTGTGTGTGTGTGCACGTGAGAGAGAGACAGGGTCACATCACAGTGGAGTCAGCTTTCTTAATCGCGGCTTGTGTACTGCAAATACATACGACCATCATCACTGTGTCTGTCACGTGACTGTTCCCCTTTCAGGCTTGAACTGATGGTAAAACTACTTATGTACTGTCTTTACATTTATGTTGAAAGCTAAAGCTCGCGATTATGGAAAGGGGCATTACATTTCCGATGCGTGCTTGTGGTGTTCAGCCAATCACAATGCACTGGGTCAGCTGGCCAATCAGAGCAGACTGTGCTTGTCGGAAGGAGGGGCTTTGTAGAAAACAACAGAGGCGGGTCATAGAGGAACTACAATAATGTACAGTATTTGAGTTTTTTTAACATTAAAGCATGTACACATTCTGTTACACCAAATACACAAAACAATGATCTTTAAAATAGCATCATATGACCCCTTTAAAATAAATGTAATGATCAGTTTCATGTGTTTTCAGCCCGTTATTGTAATGACGTCTTGTTTCCAATGCTGGCAGAAACAGCTCTTAAAATGTATCACATGTGGTACATTAAATGACTGATTTTTTCTAGAAGTAATGGTGAGGCAGAAGTGAGGTTGGGATGACCTAAACAAGCTACAGAGAGACACATGCTGTGTCAATTATTAAGACATTATGTCATTGCAATTACACCATTTATCTCCCTGTTTTCCTCTTGGCTTAGTTCATTTTAGGTGACATTTCTATCTTCTAAATTGAAAATGTGATGAAGCTTTCATTATTTATAATGTTATTATTTATACATAATTCTGACTGCAGAAAATCCATATTTCAAAGCCGAAGATTTTGGCAAAGGCAAAATGCTTGATCATGCATGCTGATCATGAACATTATAAGGAGATGAACTACAATACCTGCAATCCTTTATAGCAACATATACTGTATTTTCTCCCCTTTCTTTTACCCCAAGACCATCCTCTAATAACACATGCTTCTTTATTCATCTTCTTTCTTCCTCTCTTTGTCTTCCATTCTCAGAGACTAAAGTCAAAGATAATATCTATAGAAAGCCCCCTATCTACCAACAGCATGGTACAGTCCAGTTTCCGTACAACCATGTTTCTTTGCATGCTGTTACGCATGTCACCATGGTACCTGTTGCCATGGAACTGTAACCTTTGACCCTCTTTCTGTCTGCTGGTTTCCATTTTCAGCTCCTTGTAGGTTTTACAAATCCTAGAAAAAGGTTTGGATTTGACAAGGTACTTGTTATCAGGCAATCAGTACCTAATTGTTGTTTCTTGACCACATGCCAAGGGTCATATGTCATATTTCATACATATTTATTGGGTTTATTTTGAATAGCAGTTAGCCCTGAATTATTAGTGCTGCTCAATGCCTGTTAACTTAGAGATAATAATTGTTTTGATGTTTGTTATATGATGTTACACATACACCAAAAGTTTGGGGTCAGTAAGATTAAAAAAAAATTTGAAAGAAGTATCTTATGCTAATCAAAGCTGCATTTATTTGATCAAAAATACAATGAAAGCAGCAATACTATGAAATATAGTACAGTTTAATACATTTTTGTAACATTATAAATATCTTCATGTCACTTTTGATCAATGTAATGCATCCTTGCTAAATGAAAATATTAATTTATTAAAAAAAAATCTTACTGTCCCCATATTTTTGAAGGGTTGTGTACATTTAATGTAAGTAATGCCTTTGATATGATGTCTTAATCAACAAGATCCTACATGTCTTTTTAAATGCATCCTGACATGGAAACAGCAGTCAGATATATTCTTTATTTTATTTTTGTGCCTCTGTCCATCCATACGTACTCGCTTGTCATTTGCAGTATTCGTAGTTCCTCATCTGTCTGTGGTCTTGTAACTTAGATGTTAAATGAACATGGTGTCTGTGAAACTCATTGGTTTGGTGAAATGTCAAAGGCATTTGTGTTATCCATTGTGATTGGCTTAAAGACATCTATAAAGCTCATAGTGATTGGGTGGTAGAGGTATCAATCACCTGACTGGTTTCTTTTGGCCTTTTTTTTTTCCAGAACTTGTCCCATGACGTTGTGTTTGGTTGTGTCACTTTTCACTTGCTTGTTGATTCTGTCCGTAAATTAGTTTTTTCTCTCATAGTGAATACTGCATTTAGTTTGAACACTGTCTAAAATCAAGCTACACCGAAAAAAATAGATGACATGATTTATGAGTATATAACAGTATTTTCATTCTAATTTTTATTGTGTGTGTGTGTGGTACTTTGCATGATGTAACTTGTGCCAGTCACTCTCTCAAACAGTGAAAACGGTCCTTTAGGATATATTTAAACTATCTTACTGTGCTCTGCAGCTTCCAGAACCTCCTGGCAAGATGGTGATGACGTGGACAGAAAGGTGATTTATATATTTATATAAACATCTCTGTGTATATTTGTTTATTCTGGTATACAGTATCAGATCGTTTTTTGTAATTTAATCCAACCTACCCTTGTGAAAAAGAAGTACATTTTTTTATTTATTATGGAAATAATATACTTTACTTGAGTGCAAACTGAATGTAATGTTTTTGAACACCTAACTGCATGTTAATTGCAATTAAATGAAAATGGATTAGTTTTTATTAATTCCAATATTTCGTGTTAATTCCAATTAGCTGAGCTTAGTGCTTTTTGACCACTTAAGTAGGACACTTAAGGACATCTTTATATATAATTCCGTAATTCTGTTTTGGTTGAAATGTGGTTAAAGTGTACCACCAAATGTACTGACAACCTTTTATAGTAGACTAAAATATTCTTAAAGTAATTTCTGTAAAATTTTGTATGTCATGTATTTAAATATATTTGTAATTACACATTTGCCATGATGGTTGCAATTGAGTACATTTAAAATATATCAACTTTAAATGTAATATCAAATAACACACTACAGTAAAAATTATAATCAAATACTTTACATGTGCTTTAGTATGTTAGTCAGCATAAAAATAAGTGTACTTCTTTAAAGCATGATAAAAAGATTATTACAGCATGATGTAAAATGTACTTTCATTTGTAGTTTGACATTATTACAAAATACACTTTTTAAAAGTGCGTTAAGAACCATAGTCATGAAAGTGTACTCTGGAAGTACACTAAGTGGCCTTTTATTTCATTAATAAATGATCTGCAAATACAGTTTTTTTTATATTTAAAAATACATACTGCAAGTGCACATTCAATACATTTACGCACACTTCTTTTTGTTATTTTGGGGTTGTTTTAATAATGTAATCAAACCTATGTATGTTTTCCATCCTATCTTTCCATTGAATTCTTTATTCGGTTGTATAACATGTGTTTCTGTTTTTGTTTGTCAATAGACCAGAACAAGTTGGATGAACCTGAAGAGTGAGATGGATAGACAGTCTCCAGATCTGGACCCCAGGACCTCCACCCACAGCTTACCCACCGATATTTCTCAACCCAGTGAGTAGCCAATCAATGATTTTGTAGAATCCAAACTTCCTTAAAGGGGACATCGTATGCCCATTTTCCAGAAGTTGGTATGATTCTTTAGGGTCTTTATGATATGCCTGCAACATACTTTGGTTAAAATTCCTCAGTAGTCGAGGGCGGAGATATGCTAATACAGGACAGTCTGTCAGTGGTCGTGGGCGGGGCCTGAGCAATATGATGTCATACTGCTTAAAAAAAATAAAAAATGGCTTGATAATTGACACTGTTTAGGTTTTTGGGGGTTTTTAAAAAAAGGAGTGAATGGGTATTTATCATTGTAGGGTGGTTGTGTCCACACACTGCTAAGACAAATAAAGGGCAGGGCTTTCTTTTCTTACAGCTGCCATATTGAGTAGTACAATTTCTTCTGTTAATTTTTCTATGAATGTTTCATATCCTCCACCTTAAACTGTCTCTGCCTCTTTTCCCCTTGAACATGACACTAGAGTAAAGTGCCATAAATCTTTTTAAATTCTCTGTTTTACAGACTTTCCATACAATAAGTCTGCTTCGCTGCCAGGATATGGGCGGAATGGCATATACAAGGTAAACTTTGTGAGACCTGATATCTGTGCACAAACACAGCACCCCACAACCTTTTGACATGCCATCTGTGTGTGATTTTTGAGAATATATGTGAGCTGTGGTCACAAGTGCTGTCATTCACTCTCTCAGCAGTGAAGAATGTTGTTTGATCCGAGTTGTATTTGTCAAACCCAGCTGCTGGGACACAGAGGGCTGTTGTAATCGCACACATCACGACACACAGTCACAGATCAGTTAATGTAGACATTTAGCCGAGGAAGCCATAATGCTCAGAGGGTGTGTCTGTGTTTGCGTGCAGTTAGAAGTGTGTCTTGTTCTGGCTGTTTTCCATGTTCTGTTTTGATCTTGAAATCTGGCTCCCTTAATTGACTATCCTCTGTAATGAAGAGCAAGATGAAGAGCAAGTGCTTCCACAGCGGAAAACCCAAGCACACTCTTCATTAAAAATCTGATTTAGATCTTTTATCTCACATACAGTGTTGCCAGTGTCTTCTTTGTTTGAGAATGGTATGAAACCTTCTCCTGTACACTAGGTGGCAGTATTTTGCAACGGTTCTTTGTATCCCAGGACAAAAAACAGAAATATTACCCATTCTTTATATCTAATCTGGTCTGATTTAGTGTCATGTTTCGCCCTTTACTTTCCACAAGCGTTCACAAAGGCATGTGAAACACAGAGCTGGTCATAGATCAATATTTATAGCAAAATCCACCGGCAAGCTCCAGCCCTAAGGATTCAAGCCTCTGTCTGCGTTAGACTTTAACCTTTAACCTCAGGAAATGAAAGAAAAACTTTCACAGTTACAGCAGCTTCTCTGTTCAAACATGATATTGTTACTCTCATTTGATCGTAGCAAAAATAAATAATGAAGGCATGGTGAAACTTTTTCAAGAAGCTTTTAATGTGACAACCTTAAAACCAGACACTGAAATCAGTTCCTTTGGGACATAAATGTGCCTGTAGTTGAAAAAACAACCATCTGTTGTTTTGAAATTGCCATGCATTCTGCATGTGAATAAATATGCACCATATATAATTGTGAATATGCCAAATCTTGTCATGCATTGCTTCTTACTAGGCAGCTGATCTTGGCGAGGATGAGGGCGATCATGACTCATCCTGGAGTGGAATGAGAGGTGAGTGAGTAGTTTATAACTTACATAGACAACAGATGAGTTTTACCATACAAAATTAATGGTTGTAATTTGACTTTCTCTTTCTCCTTTTTTCAATATCTTTCCGGTTTTCTCAGAGTACAAGGTGAGTTCTGGTGTGTATAGTAGATTGCTGTAGAATGGAAACGAAAATAACAAAATGCAACTAAATACAGCATTAAATACAGGTTCACTTGCAGTGGTGAATTCTGTGTGGTAAATTATTGGTTGTGAGATGCTTTTGATGGTTTCAATAGACATTTAGATACAAAATTGTTCATTTTCCATTCATCCTGTATATGTGTCATTTCAATAATTTTGAATATTGTTGGGTTCATATAGTTTAATATCAAATTTGAATGCTTGAATGCATTTTTCTAATTTCTAATTTATGCATTTAGTAGATGCTTTTTTCCAAAGCGACTTACAGTGCATTCAGGCTATACATTTTTTACCAGTATGTGTATTCCCTGGGAATCGAACCCACGACCTTTTGCGCTGCTAACGCAATGCTCTACCACTGATCCACAGGAACATTATTCTACAATAAATAATTCTGATGCTGGGTTGGCACCTGTGTAGTGTACAAACCGGGTCCTCAAACAAAAAACAGTATGAGAACCACTAGTTGATCATAGCTTCATGAACAGATACAGTGGGTACGGAAAGTATTCAGACCCCCTTAAATTTTTCACTCTTTGTTATATTGCAGCCATTTGCTAAAATCATTTAAGTTAATTTTTTTTCCTCATTAATGTACACACAGCACCCCATATTGACAGAAAAACTAAGGGGGTCTGAATACTTTCCGTACCCACTGTATACTACAAAACTAAATACATGATCTGTACAGAGATTTATGTATATACAGTACACTACCATTCAAGATGTTTTGGGGTGAGAAAGATTTTTTATTGTTTTTGAAATACAGTAAAAACAGCAACAACTGTTTCACTTGATCGTTATCTTCTAATATGCTGATTTGGTGCTCAAGAGTTCAAAAGAACAGCATTAATTTGAAATTTTATATGATGTCTTCCAGTATGTGTGCATCTATGTAATTGTGTGTCTTTCACATCCATGTATTTTGCAGGTCTACCCCTATGACATGCTTGCTGTGACCCACAGAGTCAGAGTAAAACTACCACGGGATGTCGACCGCACCAGACTGGAGGTAATATTTTATTAGACATTTACTCAGTGGTTTTGTTTAATGCGATTACTGTGCATTTTTAATTGATTGCACTTTGGAGCATCCTAAGTTATAATTGAGCAATACTTTTATAATGATTGATTTTTAAATACAGCGGTGTCATCCTTTTTAATATGGAGCATGGGTTGACTTATTGCTGTTTAATTATTATTTTGTCAGTATCAGCCTGGATCAAAGTATGCAAGAAGGCAGCCAGGCAAAGAGTTGTGTATATTTGTGTGTATGCCTGACTGCACATCTGCCAGTGTGAGTGTTTGTGAGGTTATGGCTTTGTTGGGCCACAGTCCACTTGCCCACGGCCAACACGTAATATATCCTCAGTGTTCCTGGACATTGTGTCAGTGTTATTAGTGGGTTTAAGTGGAAAAGGGAAGAGAAATGTCTGGAGTTACGAGAGATGTTGATTTACAGATCCCACTCCCTAACTGTTAGCTTGGAATCACTGTGGTTAAAATTGTAATATCTGAAAATATGTGTGTGTGTGTGTGTGTGTGTGTGTGTGTGTTTTGCGTGAGTGTGTTTGTCATCATATGACTGGTGTCCTGATATAAGAGGCCCTTGTCACATCTGTTTGAATTGAGCATGATTTGAGTCAGTTGCAACACCCAAAACTTTCCAAAGACTGTGATTTCAGCATCTATTTGGAGATGTTCAAGATACCCACACATCTGCAAGTGTTGCAGTACCACATACGACAGAGCCTGAAAGAATAAAGATTTACACAAATCCATTCTGCAATGGTTTAAAACAAAATTGATGTCATAGGCTTAAAAGCCTGGCAACTTTTACAGCACCCCATTGGTGCTCGTAATCCTGATTATGCTAAAGGCAATGAATGTCCTCAACCATTGCAAAGCTTTAGGTGACACATGCATATAGATGGCTGTAATTATTGTCAATATTGTATTATTTTTTCGCTCTGTCTTTAAGCTGTAATGACATTTGGGCCATGCAGATATCGTTAGCAGAATAAACATTGCTTATAGATTCCTGGCAGAGGTCCTTTGAGTTTGTTCTGATTAAGCTTTGATTAGTTGTTGTTATTTTGGGCCTTTATAGATGGATGACTATATCATGGAGCTATTCTGCATGCTTTAAAGTGATAGTTCACCCAAAAATGAAAATTCTGTCATCATTTATTCTCCCTCATGTCTTTTAAAGCCCATATAACATTGTTCTGTGAAACATGAAAGGAGTTATCAGAATGTCCAAGCTGTTCTGTTCCATACACAGAAAGTGGATTTTAATAGCTTTTGAAGATTTTCTAATGAATAACCATTTCAGTTATGGTCTGTTCCTCGGCTGTACGATTTGGGGAAAAAATCGAATTGCAATTTGTTTGATTAAAAAAATGCAATTGATGTTTAAAATGTGATTAATAATAAAATAAAAAGCTTCAGGTTTGCTGCATGTGCTTGTTTGTAGGGCTGCACAATTTAGTCATAAATGTTGTAATTATCAATATTTAAAAAATCTATGAATAATAATAATACTAAATGATTTTTTTACTACATAAAAATATAAAACAAATCAGCAAATATTGCTTTTTATTTTACGGTACAACTGTAAAATTGTGCTCTTTTTATGCTGTCCTTGACAGCCTGTTCACCATTAATTTTCATTGTGGTAAAGTGAAGAACATTCTCTTCAAAATATCTTCTTTGTGTTCCACTGAAGCATGAAGGTACAGAACTGCACAGTACTACAGAACTGTAATTTTTCAACTGAACCGATCTCCTAAATTTGCCAGTTATCAAAATTAATCTGTGAAAGTTTTAAAATTCAAATAATTACATTTGTCGTAATTCTTATCATTTGTGTGTGTGTGTGTGTGTGTGTGTGTGTGTGAAGTCTCTTTGTCTGGATGAAAGCAGATGTAGGACTGTGACCCAAGAGAACTCTGACCCAACAGTTTTGAGAGCTGCTTTCCTACTTTTGCTACTATTACATATGAGGAGAGTTTGTGCCTGGTTCTGACTGCATTCACACAAGTGTTTTATTTTATACCTAGAAAGTTTGAGAGACCTTATGAAGTTGTCTCTGAGGTAACAAAACATATTGGGGTTTCCATGGTGGGTACATGTGGTTTTGTGCTAGTATGCAAACTATTGTGAATAACTGTGATTGTGATGTTATTCTGACTGTGCAAAGTAATGAGTTTGGGAAATGTAAATGCACCCATTTCATTCACTGTGTCTTTGAGTTGCTTTGCAGGAAATATTGATATTCATCTCAATAAATAGGCCTACAGCTACTTCAGCTCGAGTGTTTTTCTGTAAAGAAAGTTGCTGAAACAGATAGATGGATATCAATCTAAATAAAGTTACTTCCATTTTTCAGTTCAGCTTTTCTTCTTTTAAGATTCTGAATCAGACCGATAGATAGATAGATGTTTTACATTTTATTTGCTTTTTGAAAGAGTCTCCTAGGTCTATCATATAAACAAACGAAATAGACGTTGAAACTAAGTCTTCCAAGTTGCAACACTCCTCGATCTAAATGTGCCCGCCTCCCAGTTCTGCTAATTGGGTGGATTTTTAGTAGCGCGCTGCCGGATTGGCTCACACGGTTGTCAATCTCGGGCTGATTTGACAGCGCGAGCGGTCCTAGGAGCGCAGATATGAATCTGAAGAAGCTCACGGGCCAGCCAGAGGAACAACAGGAGAGGTGGCCGTTATCAAGCACACGGGATACAGAGCAGGTCCATTATCTTGCGATTAAGTTATGACGGAAAATAACAGAGAAGGTAAGATGTCACTGTTAAAATTATTAGACAGTTGTCTCTATTGATCCGTAGTGAAAGTCTTGACCATCCATGAAATGTTTCCTAATTTGTCGATTTCAACACACACTATTGAGGTTTCTTAAGAGGACATTTCAGTTCTCCCTTGAAAATGTGAGTGTGATGGGCTTGCTTTCCAATGTTTATTTCTTTCCAAATGCTAATAATATAATATAAAACGGCTCTGAAGTTGTCATGCTGCATTAATATTTGTAATTCTTTTGGAGCTGTCATCAAACCTTTTTTGTTTTGGAGCTGAGGCTGAGCACAAAGAAGCACGAGGCATCCTGATGAATGCGCAACGCTCCGTGGGGGGCTCTTGTTGAATAGCACGAGCCTGGTGGGATCAGATGCCGTCTCGAGCCCCAGTCTCTATATATGCAGAGGGGGGAGGGGCTGAGAGAGGTGAAAAGCTAAATTATGAAGAACAAATCCAATTAATTTGATACAATGCAGCGGGATGACTCTTAAACCACTGGGAAAGGGAAGCTCGATTATGTTTTTGTAGTTTATGTAAGGATGAAGCATAGTTGTCACTGACAACATCATAATTGCATCCCTATGTCTAAGATTTTATGTTTACCCTAGCTGACCCTAATTTTATTTTATTTTTTGCATATTTGTTACTGTTGTTCTCAGGTGTTTTGCAAGTTCAGGTGATGTTTATTTAGAGAGGCTATTTATATAAAGAGTTTGGGACCATGTGAAGGTGTTTCCATCTCCAGTTTAGTTTTCCTCCAGGAATAACTGACAATGGAGCGGACGAGAACCGTCATCCTGGGTATTGTTTGCTTTACTGACTCTGGCTCTGAGATGAGAGAAAACAGAACAAAGAGTAAAAAGCCACCAAAGTGGTCGTGTCTCATATCTCATTGTCCAGACTGTCTCAAAACAATCAGACCAGGTAAAGAAAATAAGAAAGAATCGAGTGGAACAGGTTGGGTTTGGCCAAACGCAGTCCTTGGACTCCTTGGCTAGAAATACGATCATTTGGAAAAATAAAGATAGGCATGTGGACAAAGCTCGGCATCTTTGATCAATAGCCAGTGTAGAGTTTAAATGGGTGTGACCAAGCGCTTTGAGGGATGTTAGTCAAGGACCATCTGGTAAAATGGGCGATGGAGCCTAACTTGACCTGTTCTTATGCTTTTGGCTGAACTTTCACCACAATTTGTATCATTCAAACAGGAGGTTCAATTCAGGATGTTTTGCTTCCTATTCAGAGTAGAAACAAAATACCTTTTCCTTATTGAGTCCCACCCTTTCAAAATATTATTTCCTTTGATTCTTAAGTAAATGCTGATTTTTCTGGCAGTTTCATATCGATCTGGCAGAGAATGAACACCTTTGTAAACCATGAACCATTAAACACCTTTTTTTCAGAAGTAGGTTCATTTTATTCCATTTAAGGTGAAAAAGCATGTGAGTTGCACCCTTATTATAGCAGCATAGCATGTATGAGCTTGTTCATTTACACTTTATTTCAAAAAAATTTGTAACTGATGCTCAAAGTGAGTTCATCCAAGGGCTAAATGCCAGTATAGCTGAGTGTTGCATGGTGGGAGTTTGATATTTTTCCTGATAGCTTGATGACTGGTCTGAACATGTGATCAAAAGTCTGATTGCTGATGCAGTGACATCATTACTAGCATTGTTGCAGCATCTGTGTGAGAAAGAGAAAAGCCACTGGTGAGGATGGATGACTGGTCTTGCTTAATTTGCAGGAGAAAAAAAGCAGTCATACAGATATTTAGTGTGGAGGTTTATTATCTTCTAATCACTGCTTTGAATGATGGGGAAAATGTCGAGATAATGTACAGTTTTCTCTTTTATAGTAGCCTGACTTCTACAAGGCTGTTTTTCCTTTCTTGTGGTTCTAGTCTAGCAGTCTGTGCCTTAAGATAGTTTTCACAGACAAGTATCCAGTGGGTTTATATTAGTCTGCCTTAGGATGCAGTATGTAGTTTAATTGTGTGAGTGTGTGTCACATACAGCCATGAACAGCTGCTGACACTTTGTCTGTCTTACTCAATACCAAACCACTTCCTGACCTCTGACACTGATTCCAATGGAAAGTTGTGTTTTGTTATGAAAAGACTGGAAATGTATAGACACTTGAAATTTTTAATTTTATTGATGCAATAAAAAGATAAGGAAATGTAATATGCATCATTACATTTCTGCAATAAGCACACTTCATGGCAAATGCCTCAAACCCATGACCTTGAAGTTGCAAGCACTATGCACATTGCACAACCAGTTGGTCTTTTTTCAGTTTTGTTTATGTGAGCTGAAAAGCCCTTTGAGAATACATAAAGAACAGTGACTCTGTCTTAACGATCCCATGAGATCAAAATATGTTTTCTGACTTTTCTGTGTTACTTTCAAGCCATCTATCCACCTTATTTTTAACGTAAGAGTGGGCATGGTCATTTTTAACTTGAATGCCGCTTCCAGTTATTTTAACTGTACAAAAAGCCGTCTGTTATGAAAGCATGCAACTTTTTTTTTCATGAAAGCTATGAAAGCATGCAACATCTTTCAGTTGTAAATATCAAACATGTCTAAGGTTTACATGTGTGGCCAGCCTTATTCACCTAAAGTGACTAATGAATCTGAAGTCTCACACATTCACAAGAAAATAGCTTCCACATTGCACTGTGTTATAAAGATTGACAAAATTCACTTTTAGCAGATATACACATTTGAATGTGCTATATGTAATTTTGGACTGTACTAAAGCATAAAAATATTATATTTTTGCAGATATTTTAGAAACGTGCTAAATTCACAGAATTGTTTCTCCGAAAAACAATGCTACAGCCAGTTATTCTACTGCGTTCTGTGTCGGAATGTCTGTTTTTGTTTTGGTCTGTGTGATTCCATCCACTGCCAATTTACCCAATAGTATTTCGACACCCCGGGTTGCCAGAATGTGGAAAACATGTATTGCAGCAATGGAAGCCAGCAAACAAACTGGGTCAGAGATCGCAGATTCTACCCGACCCAAAAAGCCTTGGCATCCATCTAAAAAGCTTTATAATGACCAGAGGTATATTAAAACGTGGATTCATCAACACATCAACTTACAGTGTAAGACTTGTTGTCTTTCATTGTAAATTACGCTTGTTCCTGTTGTGTGTCCTCAATCTAGCAACTTTTGCAAGCATTGAGTCTGAAGAGGAGGGGGTGGAACAAACAACTCTATCCAGTATTTTGAATTTGGACTGCAGTACCCATTTCAACCACTAGTCAATATTACATACTGCACCTTTAAAACTTACATATTTTCTCTTCTGGGATGACTCATTTTTCA